ATTGTGTCTTATTATCATGAATTAAACATTTAACCATTCTGACATATTTTACTTTGATTTAAGTGATGTACTGTTTATGAACTGAAGTAAATATTTAAAATAACTGTTCTGACATATATTTACTCTGATTTTCAGTATCTTACTATTTACAAATTAAAGTAAATATTTAAAATAACCATTCTGGCATATGTTTTACTTTGACACTGAGTGTGTTAATATTCCTAACATAGGATAAATATTTGAATAACCATTCTGACATATATATATATTTTTGTTCGTACTTTTTGTTTGATATTAGTTATTTCTGTTAAGGATCCCTTGTATAGATTTGAAAATCTGATAATGTTGAATTAAAGGTAAAAAGATAAGTATTTTCAGTTTTTTCCTCTATTTGTCTCTTTCCTGGATAAATTTTAAAAAGACATTATATTTATTAAAACATTATTTTGGTTTCATGTTATATATATTTAGATAACACATTTTTATTATTTTTATTTACATAAGCAGTGTATTCTGTTAACACTGGCCTTGTGTTCAGTAGAGTATCTACCTCTTGATAAAGCTATGAAGTAAAAAGTTGAGGAAATAAAGAATTTTTACTGAATACTTCCTGCTATGTCTCTTCAGTAAAGATGTTTTCATTCTAGTGCACTGTGCTACCTGAATCCTATCTACTTTGGAAGTTTAACAATAAATCCTTTAATTTTTTTTCCAGAAAAAGCTATTCTAATTTTAAAGAAGAGGCTGACTCATAAGAAAAGGTAAAGCATTGTCTGTAGGTAGATCTCATAGTCATTAGTAGCTAGAAATTTAAATAGTTGTTACTTACAGTTACTAATAAGTGGTCAAAACTTGAATTTTAACATTATTGTCTCTAATTTAATAGCTGGTCCCTAACCAAACATATGGAAATTGCTTAAGCTGAAAACCTTAACACTGAGGAGATACAATAGAACAGAAGATTTAATCATTTAAATACTTGTTGATCTAGTTAAACAAAAGCTAAATGTGACCCTCCATTATCCAGTAGAAATCTATTAGCATGATTCTTAGATCCATCATTCTTGACTACTGTGTTATATTTTGTTGTGTAGATAAGCAATACAGTATCTTCTTACCTGATTACATCACCTTGTCAGTTGAAGAAACATGCTTATGGCCATGTTGGAGTAAGCTGCACCTAATGTAAGAATGCAATGAACCCTATCTCTTTGGGTCGTCCTATGGTCATGGGTCAAAGGCCATATCATCACATTTGTAGACTCGCATTCAAAATTTCATTGAACTACTATTTTATGAATGTATATCAATAAGTTTGGTATCAAAGTATAGATTATAATTTAAATTTCAGTGTGATCCATTAGTTAATTTCTTAATTTGAAAGTAACTATTGAAAAAGATATTGTAAATATTGATTTTTGTGTGTCATGTATTATGTTGAATGCAGCATTGGTTCATATTAGATGTTTGTGATGTCCAAATACAAAGTCTATAGTTTCTTACGAATTAGGAACTCAAATTACCAATATTGACAAGCTAGAATATCAAATAAAAACTCCTATATTTTCTATTTGCTGAGATATTGCTACATATACTGAACAAACATGGTGGCCTCACCCACCTCTTTTCATTTTTGTAAAGACATGCTTATGTACACTTACTTCTGTCTTCGATGTGTGAATAACCAATTGAAAGCTTAGAGTGTCCCCCTAGTCTCTTTCTCAGCATAATTGATGCATTCAACACCAAACTCGTTCTTTTAAAGCTTGGATTTGACAAGAAAGTTGAAACTTTAGTGAGCTCAAAATTTCATAATTTTTAGATCCAAACACAGCTTATTTATTAAACTTGATAAATTATAGTGGAATTCTGTGGTGTTGACATAGTAATTTATGATTTCTGGTTTTTTCAAAATGTATATATAAAATTTTTTCGTTTCACATCCACCACATGCAAATTTTGATAAGGCTTAGTAACCTATGGCAAGCAGCAAACGAGTTCAAAGTTCATAACTAGAAGATATAATTATTTTCTATAATTCTTTATTTACTGTTCTATGTTTTAAAAAAAATAACTGAAATTTAAGAACTTATTTGTAAATAATAATAATGCACATACATATATAACGTATTAAAACTGAAATTTGACTGTATTTTACAAAATACTAGTCCACTAAAATACAGCCAAGACAGGTCACTTTGTAAAGGCCAGTTTCATGTTCTTGGATATGGTAACATCAGTGCATCATTGCAACTTCAATAATATTAACCAAGCACTGATGAAAGGTCAATATAATAAAAATAATAAATATATATAAATGTATAATGATATGAACTGTAAGCTATTTAGACTAAACATTTGTGTTTTCATATTATAATATTGTAGTCATTCTAGAATGAAAAAAACATAATTTATATTTATTTCCTAATTTTTTCATTGAGATTACAATAAAATCAAACCAACTCATACAGAGATACAGTATTGAAAATAACAGATAAAATATAAAGTTTTTTCTAAAATAAATTTTATAATTATCTGGAGATAATCTGCTCCAAGAGAGAGTTTTCTCGTACAATCTGTAGCTAACATGTTGCCCATAAATATACTTAATTAGAAGTAAAATGAGAACTTTATAGTTCAGATATTTGTCAAAATTAGTGTTTGCTGCTTGAACTACATTTGTATCAAATAACTATTTTCCTGTTAACATACTTCTTAATTTTATCTCTTGACTTGAGACCTTTAATAAAGAAACTTTCTAAAAACAGTTATCAAAACTATCAGTGTACTGCTAATGCTATTAAAGTTTATTTATCTAAAATAGAAAATTTTAAAAAGCCACTTCCTCCTTCTCAGTCCTCCAGTGGGTCAGCAGTAAGTTTGAAGACTTACAATGCATAAATCTAGAGTTTGATTCCCCCACAGTGGACATCTTACAGATAGCTCACTGTATAGCATTGGGCTAAAACAACTTTCTTCTCAGCTGAGAAAAATATATATATATATTTCTTAAATTTTACATTGCAAAAGAGAAGTATGCTATAGTTATGTCATTATGCTAAACAAAGTTTAATATCACTGATGAAATACTTGTTATGTTTAACCATATATGTTTCTCTGTGTCATTTGATTTCATAACTTGAGAGTAATGATTAGTAGCTTTAATTAGAAAATAACACACTTGGAAAAATCACTTTTGCAAGGTCAGTGTACCAACACAGTTCAAGTAGTTCTTCAAGGCTGATATGGGACAATTATCAAACTAATGTGCAAAATGTTTTAATTGTTTACTTGCATTTGTGTGTTGTAATATTATTTGATTATAAATTGTTCATACACAGGAAATGTCTTTCCAGATCATTCTTCAAATAATTCCATGTTCATGTAACAAATTTAATTTCATTGAAAAATATCTTAATTCTCTGAATAACTAACTTAGGGAATTTAATTTCAACTAAAAGATATCTTCATCACTGTTTTCTGAACCCCAGAAATCTTAGTTTGACATACATATTTTGTGTATTTAAACCTTGAGTCACAAATATATTTGTTTAGCTCAAAACCTATATTTCTTTTTTCTAACCCTTACTGCGTATAGTTTTCATACAGTGCGATTACAGTTAATTTAATATTCCAGTTAACAAATGATGAATGTAAAACAACTGAAATGAGGACATTTTCATCTTACTTGGAATTCATATAGAAATGTATTACACCATTCTTAAGTACTTAACCTAATTGGAAGATATATCTACTACAGATTTGCACCATTATTGTACTGAGAAATTTTCTGACCTCACCCATCATCATCATTGCTGGTAGAGCAAGAATCTATTTCAAAGTCAAGTTGTGTAAAACATACTTGAAATTAGTCAGCAAGACTGGGTTGACTGGCAACACTGATATAACATAAAGAAATATATTGTTTACAGAAAATTTAATAAAAAGTATATACCCATAACATTATTATTTTTGTGCATTATCTTTTGTACTTAATATTGTACAAGATATTTATTTTAAGTATTCTGCTTAGAAATATCATTTCTGTAGTTCGTAGAGAAGTGACTTGGTTTGTTATTTGGATTCAAAGTATATTCTGCTTTATTAATTGTAATAAACAAACTAAATTCAAATGGTTGGAATAAGTGGAAGTTTCTTTTACCCTAATAGAAAGTCATAAGTTTAAGGGAAAACTTTGTGAGATGGAGGTCAGTTATAAAACAGCAATTAATCACAGCAGGTGAACTTAATCTAAACAACCAGTAAAGTTATAGCCACATGATGCAGTTAATCCGAGCTGGTCTAATTATTTTTTCAGAAAAACACAAACAATTCAACTGAGACTAAATATCTACTTATAGGCATCAAAACAAAATCAATGTATAAGAAGCTTCTAAAGTAAAACCTGTTCTTTGTATTTATTGTAAATAATCCAATAGCAATGTAAAAGAGAATTAATGACAATTTTTGAAAGACAGGATGACTTGAAAGGGGTATATCATGTAGGCTTTACATATTGTTTATATCTCGGTAAGGCAAGAAGAGTTAAGGGTAGAAAGAAAGTTTAGAATGGGCAGTTCCAACCACTAAAGTATTTGTTGTATCCCAACTGGCCTGTTGAGCTATACATTGAGTGATACACAATGTCAGCAATGAACATAGTGTGGTTGGGATACATTCTTCTAATTCTTGAAAATCCCCAACAGATTAAGTAAAGAATGTGGTGTTTGAAAATATAATAGGCCTAATATTAATGTCTTATGAAAAGTATAATTATAATCATGCTTTGTCAGTTTGTAAAAGGCATTTTCACCATAACAAACAACTTTATACTTTCCTTTTGCAGCTACCAATCTTACCCACTGTCTAAAACATACATGTCTGATAAGTATTCTGAGCAGTTATGTTCACTTCTTACGCTATTGGCCAACAAAGTAGATCATTGTATAATTTGTTCAGTTAAGTTGCATTTCTGCCATTGTTGTGTAATGTCATTAACAAAATGCTAAGAAGCATGCCATTAACACCTTATGAACAGCAGCACCTATAGTTTAATGCTCGAGTTTATATCTTTTCTGAAATATGACATTTATTGGCATAACCATCTCATATGTACCTCTAAAATGTCTTGTTGTTACATATACTATTAATGATATTAATATTTTCTAACAGTCACTCTGGCTTGAACACTGGGGCCATAGATACACTAGCCATATGCCTGTTGTTTCTGAGAGAAGGAAATGCAGAAGCTGCTCAGAAAATGCTGCTCTCTCTTGGAAAGGTTTGTTTTTAATATAATGATATATATATAACTTAAAGAACCTCTACTTGTTTTCAAAGGATATATGTGTTAGTAGAAAAACAGGAAGGAAATGTCCATAGTTATATAGTAAAATTGAAACATAATTCATTCTTAGCAGAAATAAATATTAATTTTGTAAGATAACATTTATATATTTAAAGCTGAAGTGTCACTGGGATTCCTTCAGATTATAGTGTTTAAGTGTAAAATACAAAAGGTTGTTTTATGATATTGTTGTGATGGTTTGTGTTGTTGGGCAGGTACTTTTGATTATTCAGTAAAAATCATTCATAGTCCAGTCCACTTATTTGTAACAAGTTATTTATTTCTTCAATCGTAACATACAAGTTCTATAGACTACATTTGTTGATAATTCACAAATAAAACTAAGCAGTAACTTATTTAATTTCTTCTTGTATCTACAACACAACTCAAAACTGGCTGACAAACAAACTTGGTAGTCTAGCTAAATACATTAACAGGTTCAATAACTGACTCTCTCACTGACTAACCCTCTTATTAAAAAATTATCTATCTATCTTCTGGTGTTTAAATATTGTTAGACTTTTTTCTCCAAGTTAGCATATCATGTTAATTCTAGAACTCAGGAAAGCTCTAGATGTTGCACATCATTAAGTCAAACCAAACTCCCTCTTTCAATAATACAAGACATTTAAATTAGAATATTAAGAAAGAAAGCCTACAACACTGCCACTCCTAGATTGTGAAGTCTTTGAACAATCCTAATACACAAATAAAATTTAGAAATCCAGAATTAGCAAAGTGGTAATTTCTGGTGTATAAATTTCCCTCACAGTAGCTAGTTAGGGCTCACTAACTGAAGGTTCAGAGAATACTGAGTTCTGGAATGTGTGTTGTTTGTTTCCTCTGAATTTTGACTGAGTTTGTCATAAAGAAAGAGATGGTACACAAACAAAGCCAAAACAAACACAATACAAAAAAGTGCAAGTTTTTATTGTGGATGTGTTGACCTGGCAAAATTAATGTCTTTAATAATTTTGCTACTAATCCACAGTACTGCCTCCTGTAGGCTACACTAAATGTAGTAAAAAAGTAAAATCCAAAATAAAAAATCAAAGTTAAACTTAAGTTAGAAAGGTTCAACATCTTATATTTATATGAGACCAAACCTTAACACTCTTGAAAGGTCTAAGAGTTAAAACTACTGTAAATTTAAGAGAAAGCTTTACTAACAAAATGTAAAAGTTACAACAGTGAAAGTGAAAAAAGGTTATGAAAGACAACAGTTAAAGTCAAAAACAAATTATTCTTAAGAAGGCAAACCTGGCTTTATACACAAAACATAATAACGCCAACCCAAGTGTCATGTGGCAGCCCCTGACCATTATGTGATTCATAACGGAAAAGATAACTGTCTGTCTTACAATGTCACAAGCTATCCTTTATGTAATAAAAGACAGCTAATTGCCAAATAATTGATTTATATTCTGTGTGCATTGGAGAAAGGAAAATTTTAATGGTTTCCTTGAATGTCACCGTGTGTTCTAACTGAACTGAAAGGAAATACAGAAATTCCCAAAAATTTACATATTATCTAAGAGGAAAGTTAATACATGGTATAGCTCTGTACCACAGCAGTAAAGGCACTTTTTCACAATTAACAAAAATTAATATTCATTAACAGAAATTAAAATTGCTATATCATGAAGTAAATCTGTTAAAAGTACAATAATAATTTTGATTAACAAAACCTTTGTTATCTTATTTGGGGTGTCTAAGCTGTCACTTGACCAAATCGTTTTGGTGCTTTTCTCTTCCATGGCTTATGGTACGAAAATGTAATTGCTCTTGTTCCTTATTTAAGTTACAGTTGAAACACTTTCTGTCATGTTATTTGCTTCATCCATCCTGAATAAACAGCTCTTTAATTAAAGACTTTAGTCTGTGTTTTGGAATTACTTGTCATGCCTCACTCAACCTGAAGAAACAGAGGTTACCTGCTCGGGGATTATGAACCAAAGTCCTAACTCCCCAACCTGAGAGGCAAGGCACACCTCCTGCCCCCAGAATTTCAAGGAGGATGTGGAACAAACGAAGTTCAACCAATACAACAGGAAGTGATGTTCTGCATGCAGAATTACGAGGAGTCGAGGATCCTCTTTCATGATCCTCGAAATAAAGAGAATGACTAAAAAGATGGGCCACACACACACACACACACACAACCCAACCGGATAGCAAAGAGTCATCTCCGAGCCAGAATTATGAGGAGGCTCCTGCATAGGCTGTTCCTGCTTCTACCACTACCATACATCTTGGAAAACCATTCAGGGTTATTGGTAGGAGGGCACCCAGCCTCGTCCTCTTCTTGAATGGAATAATGAGTACAAGCATCACTCATGAGGAATAAACCTCTGTCCACCACTCCAGTGACTGGAAACCATAAGTGGTAAAGATTCCTATGCTCCAACAGGAGAAATGGGGGGATGCTTGCATTAGGGAGTCAAAAGGAATGATGCTCCGGAGACAGTGCAATAGGTGATACATCTATTTTGAAAGCAAACTGACCCCAATTTATTCAATCTAGGGGTCAGCAGGGGTGGGCAAAATCACCTTAAGCTTTACTCATGATAGTCTATGAATGGCAGTCCAGTATTGACTTTTGTGTTATAATTGTGTACCACCCAGAAAATGCACAAGGTGGTTGTAAGGAACACCCCATTTCAACAAAGCTTGTTGCTACCAGAAAAATTATTGATTGGTTGACTGGTAGCTAGTGTGGATTTGGAAATAAGCATACCTGCAACAGAATTGGATCCCAATGAAAATAACCAGAATGTCCCTGAAAAAGAAGAAAAAGAAATGTAAAAGAAATGAAATCACTCACCTATTTACAAATGAGCTGGCTTTCAACCTACTCAATCTTGACTGGTGGTTGAACGGGGATAACATGACAGTAAGTGTCCCTCTCTCTCGCCCCATTTCCAGAGATACGTATTTCACAGAGATAACTGATCAGCCACTAAATTCATAAATGCCTAGAACATGACAAGCAAGGAAAACAATCTGATGATTGTGGACCAAAAAGAGAAGATCCAATGTCTGAAAACAAAGAGACCTGGAGTGAGTGTCCCCTTGCTTAGAAATGTAGAACACCATAGTGGAATTGTCTGAGTAAAGCATTACTAACATCCCTCACAACAATTTGAAAGCCCAAGACATAGCTCACTGAACTGCTAAAAGCTCTAAAAGATTGATATGGGGAGAAAGTTCCTTTGTTGTCAGAGGACCTGTAATTCCATATCTCCTAACAAGCTCCCCATCCCTGGAAAGAAGCATCCATGAAACGATGTATCTGTGGACATGGTGGGTGGGAGAGGGACACCTACTGTCATGTTGTCTCTGTTCAACCACCAGCCAAGATTGAGCAGGCTGGAAGCTGATAGGGTCACTGGACAATCCAGCATATCCGTGCAAATGTTCCATTGGTCCCATAAATAATGACCACTGAAGGGAATGCAAAGGAATGAGTGATTCCAAGGATGCTCTCATCCCCATGGGCATCTGCAGGAAGGGGGGGGGCACTGGCCCCCTGGAAAATAAGGAATATAATTGTTTCTTTATTCATTCAGCATATGTATATGGATTTTCTATTCAATTCACAATTTCACACTACTTTACCCCCCACCCCCCCATGGAAAACTTTGCCCTTGCCTGGGAAAATTGAGATACTCCTTTTTGATGAGAAACCCAGCCATTGCAGCTTCAGATAAAAGAGCTCAAGTGTGAAGCTCTGCCAAGCAGCAAGAAGAAACCAGTCATCCATATAATGGTGAGTGTGAATGTCCATTGAGTGAAAATGATGTGAAAAGAATCGGACTATCTGGCAAAAGATGTAGGGGGTGGATGCAAGGTTGAATGGTAGAGCACAAAATTGAAAAACCTGTCTTTTGCACTAAACAGAGATACTGACATGAATTATGACTCTGTGATTGAAATATGAAGGTAGGCATTGACAACATCAAACTTTATCATCCATAAACTGGGTGCAAATTGCCAGGGGGGAAAGAAAAGGTACCATGGTAGACCAAGGAGGCTACAGGAAATGATTGAGACAAGAAAGGCCAACAGCAAGTTGCCAATCACCTGTCTTCCTCGGTACTACAAACTAACAGGAATGAAAACCCTTGAGAGAGGAGTTGATGCACTCTACGACCTCATTGTGCAGAAGATCCTGGATGGCTTGGGCTCAATGACTGGATATAAGACGATCCTTGGGGAGAGGAAATACAACTGGTATGATAGACAATGAAGAAGGAGACATGAAATGAATGACTAACCCTCTGGGAAGAACCTGAATCACCCACTGATCATTGGCGAAGGTCTACCATACAGACACGAATCATCAGAGTTGAGCCCCACAGGACCAGACTCCTTAGAGTAGTCATCAATACCATTGTCAGTGCTCCATATGAGTGGAGAATGCCCACTGATAAGGGTGGGATCTCTCTTATGTTTTGATAGAATGTGAAGCTGACATAAGAGGTCTGGAAACCTAAACGGGAGGTGCGGTTCACCAGCTGTTAAAATACTGGGAAAGGTAGGGTGTCCAGTGTCAACAGAGAAGTGTGAAGATGGGCTACATCTACACGAGATACCATGGAATCTGAATACCTAGAAAAATCGATTGTCAGAGAATAGGAGCTTCTCTGAGATCTCTAAGGGCCAAAGAAAGCAGTTGAATGCCCTCAAGCAAGGCATCTCTCTCCAAAGAGATCCCAACAACAAACCAACCAAGAGACCAAGGAGAGAGCAGAAGCTGATAACCTAACCAAAGTAGAAATCAATAAGTGACTAAGATCCTCTGAAAACTGAGCAGGAGACCTGTGGAAGGCCTTAGAAAACAGTTGCAATGAAGATAAAAAATGCAAAACTGTTGTAGGAGACATTTTAATCTGGGAAAACTGAGTTAGGTCAAAAGGAGCAGAGGCATCAGG